AACTGCCAAACTTGCAGTTCAACCCGACCTTGCACCCCAGTGGCATTATCCTGAACTCCCCCAACCATTTTTCTCTCGCAGAGCAGCTGGTGGGTTTGAACTGCCCACTTTGCAGTTAGCAGTCCAGTGCTTATCCTACAGCACCATAACACATACAGACGCAACCCAAGCCCCTTGCCCAGCCCCACTGCCTCCCTCCATACCGTCCACCGCAGCCATGGCAGCCTGCTGCCTTACCCTGTGGGTTCCCCACTCCCCCAAACATGCCACACCCAGACTCTTCCCTTCAGAAACACCCTTTCCCTGACCGGCTACATCACCAGCCCATTAGAAGGGACCCTACACAGGTTTTCAAATTCAAACTCTAACCTTGTCAACTGTGGAATCTCAAGCCTCAGTTTCCCCATTAGATATGCTGTAAACGTGACCTTCACAAGGTCATGGTGAAGTTTAAAAACATGGGAGGTGACAGCATGCCAGTTTCAGTTTCCCCACAATCAGTACCTGCTACAAGCGTGGTCTGACTGTAAAAGGTCCTCGTTGTTGTTAAGTACTGTCGAGTCAGTTCCGACTCATAGACACCCTGTTTCTGAGGAGCAGCGGGTGGGTTTGAACTGCCAACCTTGTGATTCCCAGTCCAGTGCTAATCCTACTGATCCTAGAGCGTCACACCAGTAGGAAAGTTTAAAAGTGACTGGAAATTAACAGGATGCCAGCCTAAGTTTCCCCATCAGTACACATTGTAAACATAGTTTCACTTTACAAAGTCATAGAGACATTCAAAACCCTATTTCTCCAAGGTTTATACTCAGGTCTCCAGGAAATCCCAAGGATCTCTCAGGGGCTGACTCATTAGAACCCCAAAACTGTGAGCTGCTGAGGGCAAGGGGCAAAGTTTACTGCCATATTCTTAGTTCCCACACAAAGAAAGGGAATCTTCATAAATCCCGGCTAAAGGACAAACACTCATTCCAAAGTCCTTAACTGTTCGCTAACTACGGAGAGTCCTTGGGTGATGTACATGGTTAACACACTCAGCGGCTAACTGAAAGTTGGAAGTTCCGATCCAAATAGAAGCACCTTGAAAGAAACACCTGATGATCTACTTTCTAAGAACCAGCCACTGAAATCCTATTGTTGTTGTTAAGTGCCGCAGAGTTAGTTCCGACCTATAGCGACCCTGTATAGGGTTTCCCAGGAGAAGCTGGTGAGCTTGAACTGCCAACTTTGCAGTTCAAACGGCTTTGCAATCTGGTGCATTAACCCACAGCGCCACACCAGGACTCCTGTTGTTGTTGTTGTTATGTGCCATCGAGTCGGTTCCGACCCATAGCGACCCTGTATAGGGTTTCCGAGGGTGTAAATCTTTACAGGAGTAGAAAGCCTCATCTTTCTCCCGCGGAGCAGCTGGTAGTTTCGAACCACTGACCTTAAGGTTCGCAGCCCAATTCGTAACCACTACGCTACCAGAGCTCCTTAGGACTCCTGTAGAGAACCCAAAATGACTATCCACAAATGAATGAATTTATAAAATGCTGTATATCCTAAAAAATTTTAGTTCTCCTCTAACACACATGAACTCACCAGGAGTTGGAATCGACTTAAAGGCAAGTGGCTAAGCCCTATGAGCACTTACTTAGTCTCTTTTCCACCCAGGAGACAGTAGTGCTTATATTACTGTTGTTAAGCACCATCGAGTAGGTTCCAACTCATAGTGACCCTGTACAGGGTTTCCAAAAAGTAGGTGTGAATCTAAACTGCCAACCTTGAAGTGCAAACCAACCTGCTTATCCCACAGCGCCACACCAAGGCCCCACTTACATGAACGTCAATAGACGACAGCAAACTCCACTTTTAGGAGGCTAATGGGGCATTTTTTAACATTTAATTACCAGGGCTCTCCAGGGAGCACAGTGGCTTGTACTATAAACACTGGACTGCAAACCACAAGATTGGTGGTTCGAGCCCACTAGCCACTTGAGGAAGAAAAGATGAGGCTTTCTGCTCCCACAAAAATGTGTAGTCTCAGAAATTCACATGGTCACTATGAGTCGAAACCAACTCATCAGCATTTCTTCACAAGAAGGCTCTTGAACAGCAATAGCCATGGACCAGGCACTGAGCAGCCTTCCCAGCATTTAAGCCCACACATTTGTGCTACGCAATCTACTCTATTGAGAATCTGTATCTCAGGCAGCGAGAGCTCACAGTGTGTTCGCAACAGTACAGATCAGCAAACACTGCCATCACATGCTAGTAGCAGTTCATTGACAGATCCAAACTCACAGCTTACCATCCAGCCCCCTCTGGTAGGTGAAGGGGGTGGGGAAAATCATATGGTCCATTGAGGAATGGAGTAAAACCCACCAGCCTGAGACAACCAGTCAGATGGCCCTACTCACTCCACACACACTCCATCTTGGACCCTTCAGAAAACAAATAAACTCAGATGCCCCACAACTGATCCAGTGCAGACAACAGTCTCCAAACCAAGCACCAAGGATGAGCCCCATGGCCAACTTGGGCGAGCAGTCCTTCAAAGCAGCAAGGGATGGGCTGGGGAGATTTGGAGTAGGACAGAGTGATGTCAGAAGCCTGAAAGCCCAAAAGAACTCTGCCAGGAACAAAGCTAAGCTTGAGAAGCCTCAAGGACAGTATGTCCTCCCTAACTTGGGACTGCTGAACCCTACCCTATCCCCTTCTCGCCAAAACCTACCATCCCAGCCTCCTGGTCCTCCAAGGAAAAGGCTGCTTTTAACCTACAGCAGATCTTAACCCTTCCCCAAGCAACCAGTGGCTACACAACCCGATGCAGCAAGGACAAATTTGGGTCAGAGCAAAGCCAAGCTCTAGGCCCAGTTCTACAACTTGCTATCACTGTTTCCCTTCCAAGTCTCTATGTCTCCATCCTCATATCAAAATCATTAAAGCAACTCATAGGAAGAAATCCTAGTGGTATCATGGGTTAAGCATTGGATTGCTAAACACAAAGTGGGCAGTTCAAGTCCACCAACTGCTCCTTTGGAGGCTGTTTGCTTCGGTAAAGATTTACAGCCGCTCGGAAACCCTGAGGAACTGTGCTACTCTGACGGGTTGCCAAAGAGTTGGAATCGACTCCCAGGGCAGTGGGTTTGGTTTTGTTTTTTAACTTAAAAGAAGACTCTAACAATTCATTGAAAAAATTGTAGCAAAGCAATCCACAGCACGTAGAAGAGCTCAAGGATTGTTTCACTTATTTTCCCGTTGCTATGCCTTCCAGGTAAGGAGCTCTGGTAGGGTAGTGGTTACAAATCCGTCTGCCAACCTCAACATCAGCAGTTCTAAACTACCAGTCCTAAACTACCGCGGGAGAAAGATGAGGCGTTCTGCTCCCATAAAGACTTACAGCCTTGGAAACCCTGTGCGGGGTCACTATGAGTCGGAACCAACTCGACGGTACTTAACAATAACATGCCTTCCAGGTAAGTTTTCTTGAAGGTTCACTACTCTTGGCTGTGTCTAGCTAACTGGCCCACCCACCCCTAGGTATTGACTCTGAACTATAGAGTAAAGGTAGGAATCCTGGGGGGAGGGGTGGATACGTGTGCAAGCACCTTCCCTGCCCCCACCAGGTTCCTGCAGCCCCTGGGGTCCACTAGTCTGGACTGCACCACTCGGGGCTCCTCCCCCTCCATCCCAGCCCCGCCTGCCCCCGGCAGCGAAGCACGTGGCCCCAGCCCTGGGGAGCCATTTCGTTCTTGGAGCAGGGCTGCAGGAAAGGGGCCGCAAGTCCCAAACTTGTGCATGCTGGAGAACCCCAATCCCTTTACACTCGGTGGTGCTAAATACCCAGATGCCCGGGCTCTTCTCGAGATCCAGGTTCTGGGTATCTGCATTTTAACAAGTCCGGGTGACTCGACTGTGTGTGGTCCGTGAATCCACCGTGGTTTAGGAGATTGTGGATCTGAAGCAAACCAGGGTCCAGCTTGGAGAGTGGCTTCTGGGGAGTGACTGCAGGCTGTCCACCCACCCGGCTTGGAGACCACCGGACGCCTTCGGCTTATTGCTGGGGCGAGGGCAGTGCCATCGGAAAGTTTGCAGGGGAGACCCACATACGACGGGAGGCGCAGGAAGTGGCCTGGGTGGCTGGGGACAGCCTCAGCTACCTTATTCCACAAAAAGCCTACCCGCCCGGGCCGAGCTTTGTGCCCGGAAAGCGTGGCCAGGGTGCGCCTACAACTCCCACAATCCCGCACCCGCGGGGCCTGGAGAACTACACCTCCCGCGAGGACCCGCGCTCGGAGATCCGCCTACTCCAAGAGGGCTGCAGAGTCACGTCCAGGCCTCGCTAGTAAACAGCGCCAGGACGCGGGCGGGCAAGCCAGCGGCCGCCAACGTGCCCAGATCCTGGGCGCCCCCGCACAGCTCGCCGCGGTTCCCCGGGTCCCGCCCACGCCTACTCGCGCACCCCCCACTCGAGCACAGCCCGTCCCCGCTGCAGCCCGGCTCATTGCAAACACGCACCCTCCACGGCTCCCCGCCCCCCCACCCCGCGCCCCGGAGCCGCGGCATGGCTGCATTGTACCGACCGCACCACAGCTCCACAAACGTCCCGACCCCCATGTCCCCCACGGGGTCTCCCTGAGAGCGCAAAGAAGGAGCGAGAGGAAGGAAACCGCCGCGGGAGGGGGGAGGAGGAAGAGCGGGGGGGAAAGCCACCAGCACCCAGCATGGCCGGGACTGCTGCAGAACCACGTGGGTCTGTTTGCAATTTACAAACGCCGCGAGTCGCCCGCCTGCAGCGGACGAAAGTGGCCCGGGTCGCTCGGGGCCCCCACGTTCCGAGGGACCGAAGTCCCCGGATGGCGCGAGCCGGACGCGCGGGGCTGCAGCAGACCCGGCAGCTAAGAAAGGCGAGCCGGGCCGGCGGCGCGGGCCATGCGTGCGCACACGCGCGCCGGCCCGGGCGGGCTGGCCGGGGGCTGCAATCGTAGAAAGGGGGTAGGGGGAGGAGTACACACCTACAGAGCCCTCCTATCACTTCTTTCTCTGTTTTCCTGAAATGTTGCAAAGAGGGCACCTTCTGAGTGGGCACCATGAAATACTCCATAGCGATCTGCCCCCCTCCTCTGCACAAGCCAGGTCCCGCGGTCCGCCGGAGAATGCAAGATGGAAATCCGAATCAAAGGGCAGCGCCGGACGGAGGTGCAGGCTCGGCCGGTCCCAGATGCTGGCGGCAGCAGCGGCGCGGAGAGGGAGGCGGACGGGAGGGGCGGGAGGGAGGTCTCTCCGGCCTGCCTCCCCGGGCGTGTGTATGTGTGTGTGTGTTTGCAGCTGATCAGATGTCTGTTTCAAGGCGGGAAACAGCTGGTGAAAACTCAGCACTCCCCCGGCCTCCTTCCGCGGAGTAAGGAATTGCATGTAAACAAAGGACTATTTGCAGCGCCCCCCGGGCTGCGCGGCGCTGGGATGTAAGGGGAGCGGGGCCCCGGGGGCCGACTGCAGCCCTGGTCTGCCTGCCTCTCACGGACGCTGGGGGTCGGGGGCTCCGGGCCGACGCGGGGGGTGGGGGGGGGGCGGCGTGAATGGAGCGAGCTGCGGCCGAGCTACATGCGCCACTATGGGTGATGAGGTCCATCAGCTGACAGGTTGGCAAGCATTACAAAAAAAAAAAAAAAGCCAGCCACCGCGAGGAAGCCCAGCCTGCCGTGGGTCCCAGGTCTGCCAGGGACCTACCCAGTGCAGGCTCCGCGCGCACTGCTTCGCCGGTCGGGTGTGCAGCAGCGGCGAGGAAGACGGTTCTGGGTGCATGCTCGGAGCGTTTTTGTGTGTCCTTTTTTTTTTTTTTTTAATTTGACGATTGCAACTGCACGGAACGGAGCCGCTCTGGCGCGCTCCCTTGGAGCCCAGGGCCCCCTGGAAACTTGCGTCACATTAACCGCTTCCCACATGTAGCTAGGGGCTGCTGACCCTCCGGGTTTCCTCCCTCCCAACCTGCCGAGCTGCCCGCTGCTGATCGCCCAGTCTAGAGCCGGGAGCCTGGGAATCCCGGAGGGCAAAAGGGAATGCGCAAAGCACCTGGGATGCTGGGGCTGCCCTAGGACACGGGGCCCGGATGGGGAAGGAAGGATGGAGGCAGGCCAGAACGGCAGCGGCCCGGGAGCAAGCTGCCAGAGCTGCCGGGAGACCTAGTGGCTGCGGCTGAGTCCCCTCCTACCACCCCTTCAGCTGGAGGCCCGCCTAAATTGGCCGGGGCGGATGGAAGGCTGCAGCTTCTCATTCACCACAAAGCCAGCTTCGGACTTGCTCCTCCGCCAGGGTGCGCTCCCCACAAGGGGTGATCCTCTAGTATGGCAACTTTCCGTCCCCACTCCCCACCTTCCGGCCCCAAGCGGCCTCAAGCACTGGTCAGGCTCCTGGAGGCTCAGGAAGCCCAGGCCTGCCTTGGAATGTCCTTGTCCCTTCCCACTGCCTTTTCCAAGCCATGCTGTCTTCTAGAACCTGACCAAATCACACCTTCTGTTTGAAATCCTACTAGTAACAATGACCACTGTTATCATTAATAAATATGAGCGATTTCAAGCACCTTGTAGATGCCAAAGAACCCTGGTGAAGATGAAGCTGCCAAATGAGAGGTCGGGGATTGGAACCTACCAGGAAGGACAAAGACCTGGTGACCTGCTTCAGTAAAGATGACAGCCTTGAAAACCCTATGAAGCAGTTAGTTCTCCATTGCCTATAGAATCCCTACAGGTAGGAATCCACCGAAAGGCAAAGGGTTCGATGCCAGGCAGCTTTGCATAGATGTAGTCTCCAGGCCTCAAACTAACCTCTCAGGTGAAATTTCTTTAAGTTCAATGGCACACCACTTAACATCGAAGTCCTAGGTTGGCTTGGGTACCACCCTAGGCCTACAGAGTCAGAATCCCCAGGACACTGACTCTGAAGTCTGTAAGAAACATTCCTATCCTTGTACCACCCCATTTTGCAGGTCAGGTGACTGAGGTCAAGTGAGTTTGCACAGGGGCCCTAGGAGGTGAATGGCACATCCAGTATTCACACAGCTCTTCCTATGGGTAACCCCATCATTCCCAATGATCCCTAGGTGATGGGGCCTTGTTTTGTACATAGTCTCCTCTTATACTCTGTTCTTTCACACTTGGTTATGACTGTTCTCCCGGGACCGGTTTTGTCTTCCAGAGAACAGTAAATTCTTAACAGGGGATGTGCTCACCCCTTCTCTCTTTTCAGGCTGGACACACAGGGAAGGATGGGGGGCACTGAAGGAAGCAGTCTGGACTAAGCTGATGTCCCAAGATCCTGGGACATGCTCTGCAGGGGCAGAGGGAGCCAGAAGCACACACGTGTGGCATTGCGTGGTTCAAGGTAGTGAATCCTAGAGCTTCATGCCCAGCTGAGCTGGGTAGCAGGCAGCAGCCCTCTCTGCTGACAAGTCACGGAAATCTCTCCAGAAGTAGGATTTGGAAGGGGTGGGCAAGCTGCTTATTCATTTTCCTTGGGACCAGGGTGAGACAAATGAGGTGAAGTCACAAAATTTAAAGGAACACAGAAACACTCAGCAATCAAGAAGACAAATATATATATTTGAAGTGAAATTCATATACCATAAAATTAACCATTTAAAAGTGAACAGTTTATGAACTTGGAGGACATTGTGCGGAGTGAAATCAGTCCTAAAAGGGCAAAGGAGACCAATGTTGTACAAAGTTAAGATTTTCTTGATAAAAGAAACTGTCTATGATGGTTAGGGGGTGGAAGGGAAACTTATTCATGGGCTAGAAGGGAAACACATGTTAACATAGGTGACAGGGCAGACAATATACAAGAAGGATATTAGGAGAGGAAAGATGAAGGTAGTAAGAAACCCAGGGAGGAAGGCAATAGTTAAATGAATACAGGTCAATGCTGTTAACTGTTACTACATGGAGGGGTTGCAACCATGTTATGAAACAAAGCATATGATTTGTTGAACGTAAAACTGATGATCTGCTCTATAAACCTTCACTCAATTCACAATAAAAAGTTTTAAAAGGAGTATAAAAAACAAAAGTGAACAGTTTAGTGGCTGTATTAAAACTGTATTTATAATATTACACAACCATCTCTAGTTTCAAAATTTATTCATTATCCCTAAATAAAACAACATATCCATTCAGCATCTCCCCAGTTAGTCCCGGCCCCTGGCAACCACTAATCTGTCTCCTGTCTCTCTATGTATATTCTAGACATTCATATAAATGGTGTCTGGCTTCTTTCACTTGGTGTCATGTTTTCAAGATCCATCTGCATTCTACAGATATCACTGCTCCTTTCATTGTATTACTCCACAATACTGTATTGTATGGATACAACACATTTTGCTGCTCAATTCATCCACTAAGGAGCCCAGAGAACATGGAGGGTAAGCGCGCTTAGCCGTTATCCAAAAGTCGGGTGGTTGGATCCTCAGTCGGCATTGCATACTTCATTCACAATGGCAGTGTTCTACATCCTACTTTAGTGAGTACCCATCTAAGGCACAACTATCTGTCTCTCTCTGTCTGAAGGAAAGAAGAGTTAAAAAAAAAAAAAATTGAAGTTGGACCACATGTGCATCGTCTCCACGACCCTGAAACCAGAAGGACTAGATGGTGCCTGACTCCCACTCCCAACTGCTCTGAAAGGGATCCCATGAGAAGGTTCCGGATAGAGTGGGTGAACTGAAACAAGCAGCAGGGAGAAAGGGATACGTGATGTTACATTGAGGGGACAGCAATGGTTGAGATGAAACAAATAATATGATTTGTTGAATGTGAAGCTGATGATCTGCTTTGTAAAAGTTTCACACCATTTACAATAAAAAGGAAAAATAAGGTGGGTTGGTTGAACCCTAACCAGCTGCTGAGCAGGAGAAAGCTGTCTGCTTCTGTAAAGAGCTCATGTTCTGGAAACCCTACGGGAAGTTCTACTCGGTCCTAGAGGGTAACAGTATTCATCCACTGAGGGACACTAAGGGGAGTTCCACCTTTTGGCTATTGTAAATAAAATAGTATCTTAATGCATTCTTTTTTTTAAATTAAAATATCCTTAAAAAATAAAATATGCACATTTTCAATTAAGATGGGATTCCCGATTTCTCTTGTTCCCTCAACTCCACACAGCACTGGTTCTGATCCTGTCTTTATTCAAGACCACCTCAGGCTATTCTCACCAGTTCTTACATTGCTGCTCTCAGCCTAGCAGCCTGGAGAACAGCTCAGATACACAAAGTCAAACACACCAACCTCCTCCCTCAGCCCAATTCCTGAAACAACATCACTAACCGTCACACCAACTCTCTCCCAGCACCCGATCCTTCTGTGAGGCAATCCACACAAGTCCACAAACCCCGGGTCTTTCTGTGAGGCTCCTACAGCCCCAAGTCCATCCCTTCGCTTACCTTCTCAACTTCTGAAACCAATCCCTAAGGGGTCCACCATGCCCTCCAGAGCCCTAAGGGGGTTCAGCTAAATCCCTCAGATCCTCCTAGAGATTTCCTTCCCCTCCTTGCTCTAAATCAGGGGTGGGGAACATGGTCTGGCCCTGCCAAAGCAACCGCAGTTCCAGCCGTCACATAATTGTTGTGTGCCATTGAGTTGGTTCCAACTCACAGCAACCGTGCCGAGTAGGGTTTCCAAGGAGTAGCTGGTGAGTTTGAACCATGACCTTGCAGTTCAAACCGACCTTGCTGTCCAGTGCAGGTGCATCATCCCACAGTGCCACACCACGACTCCAGCCGTCACTTTGTTGTTGTTAAGGGTTGTCAAGTTGATTCTGACTCATAGCAACCCTGTACAGGGTTTCCAAGGGGCAGCTGGTAGCTTTGAACCACTGACCTTGTGTTTTGCAGTCCAGTGCTTATCCTACAGTGCCACATCAGAAGCCATCACGTTGTTGTTGTTGTTAAGTGCTATCGAGTCGATTCCGACACATAGCGATCCTGTATAGGGTTTCCAAAGAGCAGCTGATGAACTTGAACCACTGACCTTGAAGTTCAAACGACTTTACAGTCTGACGCATTAGCCCACAACGCCACACCAGAACTCACATTTTATTGTTGTTGTGTACCGTGGAGTCAGTTCTGACTTACAGTGACCCTGTACAGGGTTTCCGAAGCTGTAAATCTTTACGGGAGTAGTAAGCCTCATCTTACTCCCACGGTAGTTTCAAACTACTGACCTTGCAGCTCGCAGCATAATTCGTAACCACTTAGC